CTGAGTTTGGCGGGGGAGATGCAGTGTGTGCTGGGAGGGAGTGTCAGAGTGAAAGAGAAGGGGCATGTGCATTGGGAGGAGTGTGAGTGTGCGAGTGAGACAGGGAGCATGCGTGTGTGCCTATGTGGTGGTGCCAGAGCACTGGCTCTAAAGGAAGAACCATCCAGGAGCCTGGACAGCAGCAGTGGGAGCTCCCACGCCGGACCCAGAGGCACCAGTAGCTCACCTTTCGCAATGCATTGCCTTCTTCCATTTAGCTAATGCTTTAGCCACCTTGCAGTACTTGCGCTGATCTCCATTTCCCTTAATTTAACTGGGATACGGTGTCAAATGCTGTACTGAAGCCCAAGTATATTAGATCTACTGGACTTATCTAAAAACCAATCAGTTATCTTGCTTAGGAAGGAAATCAGGCTAGGCTGGCATGATCTGCCTTTGCTACACCCGGGTTGCATTAAATCCCCTGTGACCATTTACCTCCATTAGCTTACCTAGTCTTTCCTTACAATTTGTTCTGAAGTCTTGCATACTACCGAGGTCAGACTAGCACAAGGGTGGGCAAGAGGCAGCTAGCAGTGGGCTGGGTCCTGCCCGCCAAACCACCGGATCCAGCCCGCAGCCACCTCACCAGCACCCTTACTACAGAGCAGCTGCAGCTGCTTTAAACTGCAGGCTGCTGATTGCTATGCAGTGTGAGCAGGGAGGAGAAAGCTTTCCACGCTGTCTCCACCCCCTAGCAAAATCTCTCCGCTTCCATGGGCCAGTTTCCAGTCAATAGAAGCTGAGAAATTTTGCTGATGGCAGAGGCAGCAAATTAAGCCCCCTGGAGCAGAGCCACAGGGAACAGCCCACCCAGCACATAGGCAGGGAGCCTGTCTCAGGTTCCTGCAGAGCTGTTGGCTGAGAACAACCTAGGTAAGCACCTTCTGGCCACACTCCCTCTTTCTGCCCAGCTACCTGCCCCAGGCCACCACCCAAACCCTCTGCACCCTTTCCCGCACTTCTCCCAGGTCACAACTCCCTCCTAGACCCTGCACCCCTTCCTTCACCTCTGCCCCAGGCCAGAATCCTCTCCTGTACTCATAACTCTTCCTGGACCCTGCACCCCAATCCTCTGTCCCAGATCATAACCCCTTCCTTCACCCAAACTCTCTCTCAGACCCGACAGAGCCTCCTGCACCCCCATCCTCTATCCCAAGCTCCCTTCTACACGCATCCCAGATCCCATACCCCCTCCACAGAAGTGCAGCCCTTGACCACTTACCAAAATCTTGGAGTAGCCTCCCATTAAAAATTATTGCCCATCTCTGGGCTAACATGTCTGTGGTTGTCCGGATGACTGTTCCCCCCCCTTCTTAACTATGGTTACAATATTAGCTACTCTCTAGTCATGTGGTACTATCCTGAGTAGATAGATTTATTTAAAACCTTGCTCTTAGACTCACTTTTGTATGAGTCAGTTCTTTAAATATTTTGGGATGGGAATTAACCAGCCCCACAGATTTGTGAGCATGCAGAAGGGGTTTCATGATGAACCTGGACAATTCAACAACCTTTAGGTGACAGATAATTGACTTCTGCAAACACAGAGACTGAAACAAACCCAGTGCTTCACACACTCATAGGATCATGGTCATGCAGGGGACCTCAGGTGGCTCATCAAGGCCAGCGCTCTGCGGGCAGGATCATGTAAACTAGCTCATCCTAGTCAAGTGTTTATCCAGTCTGTTTTTATAACAACCTTCAGTGGCAGCGATTCCACAAATTCCCTTGCAGGCCTGTTCCACAGCTTACCTACCCTTATGGATATAAAGATTACTCTAGCATCTAATCTAAATCTCACCTGTTGCAGATTAACCCCTTACTTCTTGTCCTACCTTCAGCAGACATGGAGAACAATTGATCGCAGTCCTCTGTATAACAGCACAAAACATATAGGAGGACTCATCAGGTCTTTTCTCAAGACTCAAATTCTAGTTGTTTAATCTTTCCTCACAGGGCAGGTTTTCTAAATCTCTGATAATTGTTGTTGCTTTCCTCTGTACTCTCCAATTTGTCTGCATCTTCCTAAAGTGTGGCCCCTAGCACAGGACACAGTACTCCAGCTGAGGCCACACAAGTAGACTCATAGACTCATAGACTTTAAGGTCAGAAGGGACCATTATGATCATCTTGTCTGACCCCCTGCACAGTGCAGGCCACAGAATCTCGCCCACCCCTCTTAGAATAATCCTCTCACCTATGTCTCAGATATTGAAGCCTTCAAATACTTTGAAGGCCCCAACATGCAGAGAGTCCTTCAGCTGTGATCTGTGCCCAATGCTACAGAGGAAGGCGAAAAACCTCCAGGGCCTCTGCCAATCTACCCTGGAGGAAAATTCCTTCCTGACCCCAAATATGGCGATCAGCTAAACCCTGAGCATGTGGGCAAGACTCATCAGCCAGACACCCAGAAAGTTCCCTATAATGAATGGTCAATCAATGGTCAAGTAGAGCTGAGTAGAGCAGGACAATTACCTCCCCTGCTTCTAACTCTCCCGTGCATACATCCCCGAAAGATATTAGCCTTTTTTTATAACTGTATCTCATTGGCTCATCTCCAGTCTGCAATCCACAATAATTCCCAGATGCTTTTCAGCAGTATTGCCATCAGGCCAGTTATTCCCCACTCATGGACACTGTGATGCTACCTCCATCTTGGACTGCTGAACGGTTCCACTGGGAGGTGGGTGAATCAATGGATTCCCACCTTATAGAAATCCTATACAAGGCGGGGGAGGAAAACAATCAAGATCTTCAGTTTGCTTCTCCTCCACATCCCAACCCAAAGAGATACTTGAAACATCTGGAAACAGAAGGACTGAACTGGGAGGAAGGGGAGAGAAGAAGTGCTGGACGCAGGCTGTAAAGGAAGACCTGGCCTGTGAAGGAATCTACCTAAAACAATATGTAGGGTGAGGAATTATTATTGGAAAGCAATTTCTTTAGTGAATCAAGCATGCTATGCTTTATTTTCTTATTAATCCACGTTGTTCTGTGTTCTACCTCTTTAGCCACTTAAAATACACCTTTGGAGATAATAAACTTATTTCTTGTTAATATAACCAAGTTTATGCAACCCCTGGGTGAGGGGCAGCAAAAAACCCCCCCCCCCCCCCCACGAGGGAGGGGGGGAATTGCATAGAACATTGGGTTTGCACTCCAAGGGAAGTAGACATTGCTGAGCTGTGGCACGTTCCTTAAGCTGGGCCTTCCCAGAGCAGTTCTCAGTGTTTGTAGCACTCTACAGAAGCTCTACTAATGTGCATGTGCTGGAGGAGGGTTAAGGGCTTGACTCAGCAGGATAAGATTCAGTGATGCCTAGGCTGGCAGAAAAGGCAGGCTCAGTGACATTTCAGCATCTTCAACTCATCAGGTAACATCCCAAGGGGTCTAAGCTATCACCCTTTTGATTCTTCCTGCCATGGTAGAGTAGTTTGCACTTGTCTTTACTGAATTGCATCTTGCTGAATTCAGACCAATTCTCCCAATTTGTAACAGTCATTTTGAATTCTAATTCTGTTCTCCAAAGCCTGGCCAGCATCCTGTCCAAAACCCAGGCTCTAGGTGAAAATAGCCAAGTTGTCAGGCTGGAAATATCAAGCCAGGTTAGTAACTGAACTGTCTGTAAGAGCAGCCCAGCAGCCTAAAAAGCTGTGCTGGAGCAGAATAGGTTACATGCTGACTCAGGCTTGGCTGGAGTTGCCTCTCTGTCTGGGCCATATGGGTAGGAGCCAAACTTCTCAGCTGAGTCAGTAGAAGTAATGCTGAGTGTGTTTCTGTGTAAGCAGGGTCTGAATCACTGCTTCTATTACAGCCAGCTGGAATGGGAAAGAAATCCTGGGTGTGATTATGTAAATAAAATTCACTCGGTTTGCTTAGGCCTGCTAGATATTCAACTGATACAATGGTGTTTTGCCCCTTGTAACCAATTTGGCTGTTGTGGGGTCACATACTGTAAGATATGACCACCAATGCTTGCAGAAAAGTCAGACTGTGTTTAACTCAGCTCAAAGGAGAGAAACTGTCAGTGTAAAGAATCTTGCATGGACAAGGATTCCTCTGCCAAAACTCTGTGAAGTCAATAGGGGGAAGGGTAGGAGATTGAGTCAGCAGGCTGCAGGCCCTCCAGGTGTGAGCTATAAGACTAGTTCATCCTATTTCTCTCCCCTCTCTGTTCTAATGCTAGAACTAGAGTAGACTCCATAAGGAGTCTTTTTTTATTATTTACATCAGTAGATGCTGGAATCTCTTGTGGCTGGATTGTGCTTTGGGCCAAGAGCTGAAATCAGTAGATTTGCCCAGAACCAAATCCACCACAAGCCAGCGAAAGATGTGACGAGTGGTGGCAGCTTGAAGAGCAGCCAGCAAAGTGGCAGCAGCGAGGGGAGACAGCAGCAGTGAGCAAGAGACCAGCAGAGTGAATGTGATGCCTCCTTGCCTCCTCCACACTCTTGACGGCAGGTGAATGCTGCAGATGCGCCTCTGAACTCTGGGTCAGCACTGACCAAGGGCAGCAACTGTGAGTGGGGGTCAGAGAAGGGCATGTGAGGGGACATTTACATTGCTGGACTTAAGAACCAGAGAGGAGATGGACACTGCCCAACCTACTTGGGGTGGGACTGTTACTCGTGGCTTTGGTTACGAGCTCTCACTGGGATGTTTTCCCAAGTTAATGACACGTTACTTCCCTCCCCTTTATTAAAGGTTTTGTTTCTATGCTCAGACTCTGTGCTTGAGAGTGGGGATGCATTGTCTCCTAGAGGCACCCGGGGTGTGTGAATTTCCCAGGCTACTGGGTGGGGGCTTGAGCTAGTTCCGTGTTGGATGGATGGAAAGGAACCCCTAGATATTGATCCCAGCCCCGGCTGAGGCTGGTGCTACCTGGCAGAAGGGTTACATCTGCGTGGCACTGACAACACACAGTTGTTACAACCCTATGATGCCCATGCTCTCTGTACCCTCTGGGATCCAGCCGTGGTTCTCAAACTGGTCCAGCCGGATGATTTTAGGGTCATGGCACCCTTGGGTACGTCGGATCTGGCAGGCCACTCCTGCCTTCCACGAGGGCTTCAGGGCAGAGAAGAAGACCTGGTACTCGTCATCAGACAGTGGGCTGCCTGAAACTGGAGATGGCACGCTGCAGACAGGCTGCACCATGGGGAACAGAAGTCCTACAGAGAAAGCGGGACAGGGATGAGTATAGCCATTGGGGCCAAGGGCATAAGGAAGCAGTTCATAGACCTGTCAGTCCCCATTTCCTTCCACAACCCCTAGGTCAGCCCAGCAGGCCCATCCAGTCTGAGGTTCCCACCTGTCCCCCATGTTGGCTGGGCCTCAGTAGAAATGGTGCCTTAAAAATGAAACACAAACACCTCAACCCAGCCATTTCCCTCAGCTCTAAGTGGGTCTGGTCTGGAACTGGTCCCTTTGAGGTAAACAGGCTTCATATAAAACATTCCATAAATCCCCAATCCACAAGACCTGGGGCTGCAGTGCAACAAATACCTTCTTATCCCATTCCTTAATGTCCCTGACTCAGCCAGTTCTTTTAACCCATTTTTCACCAGCTGTGCCTCAGCAATCTAGTCCCTGCACGCTGCAGGCCTCTGGGTTCATGCTGAGCAATACAGGCTCTGGGCCTGTAGAATTTACTCCCCATTCCTTAGTCACATGTCCCATTCTAAAAGTGTTGAGACTTGCTAACGGTAAGAAAACAGAGGTCACAGTACAGGTGTAGCAATGGAGCCATCTTGTGCCTAGTAGAGGAAAGTGCCATTCAAGAACCAATGTCTTGAAGCTACCCTCCCATGGCGATGGGGGAGGGATCCCAGGAGAGTATACCCTGTGGGGAGAGATGGCAGAGGTACGTTCTCTCTGGGGATATGCAGAGACAACACAGTTTCCTAGTCTCAGGAATCATCTTACAGGGAAGGGGCAGCTATCAGAGGTGAGGAGTTCTTGGGAGGAGCAAACACAGGTCTCTTACCCATCAGAAAGGCCCAAGGCAGAGACTGGAACCTCAGCATTTTGTTCTCCAACTCCAGCGCCTACAACTCCCACCAACTCCTCCCATTTCAAAGGCCAACATGGAGGCTGTCAGAATGAGAATACGATGACCTCATAGTCAGAACCTTGGAGGATCCACAGGTAGAGGGCAAAGGGAACAAGAGCAATGGAGAAATCAGGAGGGATGGTCAGGAAAGGGGGCCAAGCGGCAGAGATGAGAAGAACAGAAGAGACAATAAAGAGTAGGGAAAATCCAGGAGGGGAAAGGGCTTGGCCACATGGAAGAGAAGAGGGAAAGGGTGAGAATTTCTGTTGGGCATGAAAGTTGGAGGCTCTATGGGGGACGAGAGCTAAGGGAGGAGTGGGAATGGAAGGGAAATAAACTAGGGACATGGAGGAAGAGAGGGAAACAGGCATGTGAGATGAAGAATCCAGGATGAGCAGAAGGCAATGGGGAATAAGGAGGAGAGACACAGGGAATAGGGAGAGCTGGGGAGAACAGTGGAGAGAGGGCATGGGAACAGAGGTGGTGGCTAGAGAACAAACCAGGAGGCAGCATACAGACACGAGAGCTACCCTTCTTCCCACACTCCCATCCTAGCAATTGGCATATAATAAACTACGGATCCATTTTGCGCAAAAAACCCCTTATGTCTCAAAAAAGGAGGTATACAGATCTTGCGCAAAAGGGTATTTTTTGCACAAAATGGATCCATCTACACTGCTAGTTTTTGCGCAAAAAGCCTCGGGAGAGATTATGCAAATGAAGCACGAGAAGTTGCTAATGAGCACTTCATTAGCATACTCTCTGCTGGCAAAAGCCAGCAGTGTAGGCATAGCCCAAATGTTTGTAGCCAGGAACAACATTTGAGGAGAGTCCTCACTAGCAGGCTACACGACATTGTTAACTACCTTAGGTTAATTAAACTCTAGGTAAAAAATCCTACAGAAAACAAGGCCTGTAGACACCTAATTCCCGAGGTACCTAAGTTTCTACTGAAAGTTCCCATGACGCATAAAGTTCTCCTGGCAGGCATGTGCAATCCTGCCCCAGTCTTCATGCTACTGAGCACAGTCAATGTCTAACCCACATCCAAGCCCCAGTGAGAGCCCCTTTGGAGCACCCACAGGACGACTGAGCTCTTCCACAGTCCATTGTCTTTGCTGATGGGCCACCAGCCCGGTCTGACATTTGCATTGTTGTATCTGAAGGCTAGTAGTGGGTGACACCCGAAGTAGCACATTAGAAACACAGATCTGTGGTCAGTATTCCTAACGTCAGGTACAGAAATGATCCAGACATACAAATGAGATAATCACATTCAGTTAATCACAGCCTTTCCAAATGTAGTAAGTGGAGGGTTTGAAACATAAGCCCAGATACCACAGGGTGGGCATGAGGCCCGAGGCCTGAGGCCACAATGGGCAAGACTTTGCTAATATAAAGCAGAGTTAAGCTGTGAGCAAGAGGCAAGCCCTGCTCACAGAAGTTGGCAAGAACAGGGCTGACAGTGCAGACGCTCTCAGACCTAAGCAGTACTAGACACAGGCTGTGAGCACATGCCAGAGGGGTCGTAACAGAAAACCTCATGGAGAAGCATCTTGATACCAACACCCCCTCCCCCCAGACAATAGGAACATATGAACCCAGGTTCAGGGCAGTATACAGACATGAGAGCATGATAATGATTTAACCCCCACGTAAAAGAAAATGGGTGGATCTAGGTAACGTCAAGAGGGTGTCAATCTCATACATCAGGAGTGACGTGTAACTTGTTTGTACCTCTGTGTAAAAGTGTACCCCAAAGAGCTGTCTTTGTTCGTCCAAGGGGCCAGTGTCTCATTCCTGGCACTGACTGAGTCGTGTCCATTATTACAGGCACAATGTTAGCCTACCTGTAGCCATCTGATCTGGGAAAGCTATTCCTGTGCTTCATTTACAATAAATCTGGCTTGGTGCCTTTGGTCTTTATCTGATTTGTGGACTTTGGAGGCTCTCTTGGAGTCTGCTGTGGTGGCTATTTGCACAAGCCAGCACAACACACAGAGATGCATACACATGTAGCCTAATGGGGGTTATCACCAACAGAGCAGGAGACCTATCAGGACACTTCACCAGTGATGCCTGACTTCTACACCAATGATATTTTACATGAGCCATTGTGCATGAAGTACTCTCAGTTCTGTCATATCAGTATCATAAGCCTATCTTCTTAAAGAACATGGTGTGTAATGTCACACCTTCCCCCTCAAGACTACTACCAGAGGGTTGGTCACTGACCATTGAGGAGGCAGTATGCCTAAATCCCCTTTTGACTTTGGTTAAACAACCTGCAAGTTGCAAAGTTCTGGGTTTCTGTTTCCAGTTGCCTGAAAACATTTTGGCGTGTAGCATTGCTAACATAATGCAGATATCAATATATTTTAAAGTGCAAGTGTCTTGGCATTTAGCCACCAATGCCATGAGGTGATGTGCCTCAGTTTCCCCATCCACATAGCAGTCTAGATTGATTATGCTTTTAACTCGTAGAATGTGTAAAAAAAGGGACATAAAATTACCAGCAAATTCAAAACAGGGAGGCACTTCCAATTATGATTATCATGCCACGCCTCCCATCTACACCGAGCAGTCTGTTCAGCATTCATTGTGTTCCTCCACGACGTCTTCATGCCACAGAAGATGACGCTGCCATGACTGATCTTCTGGAGTTTGATTTAATGAGTCTAATTAAGACTTACTAAATCCAACTCAGAGGGCACCCCCACTGGTAATACAGTATTTTTGCTTTTGCCAGAAGCAAGGAATGCTTATGGGAGCACTGTGCGGATGCCGCAAAGGTCGGGTTAAGGTAAGCAACTCCAGATATATATTTTACATAGCTGAAGTTGCGTACCTTAAGCCGAGCTATCAGATCTAGTGTAGACCTGGCCTCAGTAAAGGTTCTTAGTTCAGTACTGCTTTGGGGACTTTATATGTTACTGGTCCACCCCCTCTGGAGTTGCATTTCCTCTCTAGCCCATGAAAAGACTCCAGCCCCCACTCCTGGGATTCCTTTTAGTTGCCCACCTCCATCACTTTGCCTGATGCTAAACTATCAGGAGGGATTTACCTGCTCAAGTGGCTGTCTCCACCCCTTTACCAGATGGTTCATTAGCATATTCAGACACCAGAATGTTTGGAAGAACCTCCCCTGCCCCCTTAAAGAGATAAAGCTAGTTTCACAAATACCATAGGAAAAGCATTTTGCAATAATGGGACCTGGATTACAGTACCCTTGGTCACCCCTCTCTTTATTCCCAATAGGTCAGCTGTATGGCTGCTCCTCTCAGGGAGGTCAGATACACAGAGTCACAGGTGAGGTGCCTGAGATTACAGAGGCAGATCAAGCACATTTCTCCTGGGCACACTCTAAGCCAGCAGTTTCCAACCTTTTTACGCCCAAGACCACTTTTTAAATGCCAAGGCCCCGCCCTCTCTGTTCTCCTCCTCTCCATCACTTGCTATCCCCAGCCCTTATACACTCTCAGGGTACAGCTACACGGACACTGTGACGGCGCGTTGGGGGTTCCCCGTCTCCTGCACCCCGAAATGGCACAAACAGACTTCACCAGCCGGTGGAATAGAGGAAGTTTATTGCCTCTCCAGGATACAGCACAGCACAGATGTAGTCTGGTCACAGAGCTGGGCTAGGATACCTCAGGCCCCCTTGAGATGGGGGAGACTGGGCCCCTAAACTCCAGCCCCTTCTCCTAGGCTCTCCTCTCTGCTCTCCCACAGTAACTAACTAAATTCCCTTGCAGCCCTGCCCCCCAGCCAGGGCAGCATTCCACCTTCCTTTGTTCCTCTCCATGGGGGGTGTCTGGCCACTGGTTCAACAAGTTTGGCATTACCTCTGCCTAGCGAGGTTTTCCCTGCTGGGTCTTGCTCCAGACAGCAGGGGTCACCACAGCCCAGCAAGTACCCCCACTACGTCACACC